GAAGATCTCATGGTGGATGTGGAGAGGTCTAATGCTGCTGCTGCTGCTCTGGACAAGAAGCAAAGGAACTTTGACAAAGTATGTTGGACATTTTCTTTAAAACAACACGCAAACAATGCTGGTCCACCATCACATAAAAATAATAACCACATGTATGAGAAAACTAACAAGCACATGGCATAATTTAGTGTGTGATTATTTATTTACCAATACGTGAGAAAACCAGATTGCTTATAAAACTAGAACAAGTCATGACTCTTAGCTGCCAATCACACTCAGTGCTAAATGTGCTAATGACAGAGAAACAACTTAACATTATAGGAAAACTGTTTATTGGCCATCTTTGGTAGCAATGCTAACTAGCATGAGAGTTCGTGATAGGCTCTGTTACGAGAAACTAGCTGAAGCATATCAGAAAGCAATGGGGAGGATATGGTATGAGCAGAATGTTTTGGTTAAATGCATAACAAGCAATACGATACATCATTGTTGCTGTATTATTGTTTAATTTGGATATATTAAACATATCCATATATTAGGTATATCACCATGTACCTAACTGCTATATGATGAAACTGTAAATAACATCTGCATGATTTTTTTTTTTTCACATAATGATGCTTTTATCAAAGAAAAAAAAATGATAGTAGAAAACTTAATGTGTCAAGGAGATTTCACAACCTGATTTGAATCTCAATGTCCAGGTCTTGTCAGAGTGGAAACAGAAGTATGAAGAGTCTCAGTGTGAGCTGGAGAGTTCTCAGAAAGAAGCCAGATCTCTGAGCACCGAACTCTTCAAACTTAAAAACTCCTACGAAGAGTCTCTTGAACATCTGGAGACCATGAAGAGGGAGAACAAGAACCTTCAAGGTAGTACATCACTGAACGTGAACTTACAAATGTAAAATAGGCAAGGCAAAACTGAATGGTCGCTCTTTCATCAACAGAGGAAATTTCTGACCTCACTGAGCAACTTGGTGAAGGTGGAAAAACCGTTCATGAGTTGGAAAAAGCTCGAAAGCAGCTGGAGCAGGAAAAGGGGGAGATTCAGTCTGCCCTAGAAGAAGCAGAGGTAAGACTATAACCAACTTAGGTTAATACATAGCTTAAAAATAAAAGTCAAATTTCAAACCAGAGACCGGATCTGTGTCAAAGGGTTCCCTTGAACACGAGGAAGGCAAGATACTGAGAGTTCAGCTTGAGTTTAACCAGATTAAGAGTGATATGGAGCGCAAACTGGCTGAGAAAGATGAGGAGATGGAGCAGTGCAAGAGGAACCTGCAGAGGACAATCGACACCCTGCAGAGTTCTCTTGAGGCCGAGTGCCGCAGCAGGAATGAAGCCCTTCGTCTGAAAAAGAAGATGGAGGGAGACCTCAACGAGATGGAGATCCAGCTTAGCCAAGCCAACAGGCAGGCGGCTGAGTCCCAGAAACAACTCAAATCTGTTCATGCACATCTGAAGGTAAACTCAAACAGAAACTCATTTTCTACTCTTTCAATTATCTACGTGCATTAATGTGGTTAATGCCATTCTGTAAAGGATTGCCAAATTCAGCTGGATGAGTCGGTTCGGGCCAACGATGATTTCAAAGAGAACATGGCCATCGTTGAAAGACGCAACAACCTGCTTCAGGCAGAACTGGAGGAACTGAGGGCCGCTTTGGAGCAAACCGAACGAAGCCGCAAGCTTGCTGAGCAAGAGCTGCTGGATGTTAGTGAGCGGGTGCAGCTACTGCACTCACAGGTGAGGCTACATCTCAAAGGTAACGATACTTTCTGTATGGAAAAATAACAGCTTCACAAACTCTCAAATATCTCATTTTAAAATCATGCAGAACACTAGCCTGATAAACCAGAAGAAGAAGCTGGAGGGTGATACAGTCCAGCTTCAATCTGAAGTGGAGGACTCGCTACAGGAATGCAGAAATGCTGAAGAGAAGGCCAAGAAGGCCATCACTGATGCTGCCATGATGGCTGAGGAGCTGAAGAAAGAGCAGGACACCAGCGCTCACCTGGAGCGCATGAAGAAGAACATGGAGCAGACCATCAAAGATCTGCAGCACCGTCTGGATGAAGCTGAACAGATCGCCATGAAGGGAGGCAAGAAGCAGGTCCAGAAACTCGAGGCCAGGGTGAGCTCATCTGTTTTTGCACATATGTACTGAAAATATGTAGTATATTTGCAAATGAACAAAACACTGGAAAATATAAGGTATGCACAAAATGTCTTAAGGTACGGGAACTAGAAAACGAAGTAGAAATGGAGCAGAAGAAAAGCAGCGAAGCTGTGAAAGGAGTCCGTAAATATGAGCGCCGCATCAAGGAGCTGACCTATCAGGTGTGCTGAATGAAATAGCCAGTATCCCACAATGCTATTTAAGCTTCATTTAGCAGCAGTTTGATATACTGATATATATATGGTCTCTCATCATCTACAGACTGAAGAAGATCGAAAAAATATCGCCCGACTGCAAGACTTGGTGGACAAACTGCAGCTGAAAGTCAAAGCCTACAAAAGATCTGCTGAGGAGGCTGTAAGTGTGAAGATGTGTGAAAGTAATTATATGAATTCCTCAATGAATATTTCTGTTTCCTGTTTTATTTTCAACCAGGAGGAACAGGCTAATGTTCATCTTTCCAAGTTCCGAAAGCTGCAGCATGAGCTGGACGAGGCTGAAGAGAGAGCCGACATCGCCGAGTCTCAAGTAAACAAGATGCGAGTCAAGAGCCGCGACACTGGCCCCAAGGTAGGAGGCATGCAATTTTTATCAAAAAAACTTCCATGTACACTTAGTGTGTGCTGATGCCACAGCACGCTGAATACTAAATGGATGTTTCTCTTTCTCTCTCTCTCTCTCTCTCTCTCTCTCCAAATTTCGGGGCTGCAACAGAAAGGGTTTGATGAGGAGTGAAGCGTTGGAGTCTGCTGAAATCTTTCCGCCTGCTGTGTGTTGTAGATCCCCTTCACTGTCACTATTCACAACCCATAGTCCTAATAAAACCACATTAAAAAGTGCAGTCCACACATTCTTGTCTTTGTTATGTCTTCTTTAATCTTATCCTGAACAATGTGTTGAAGGGAAATTTGAAAATACAAATTTGCTCCCAGTTTGAAGCCCCTTAACACAGAATAGGATAATTTGTTGTTCTCTTAAACACTTATGAGTTAGAAGAGAGTATAAATAGGAATAGCCTTTGTTGTCCATAGCCTAGAAATTCCTCTGATTCAGTTTTTATTTATTTGATTCAGCTAAAATAATATAAACATAATAAATACCAACCCAGTCAAAGATCGATGTCAGCTCAATTTTATTTGATAGGAATAAACAAATTGATTGAATTAAACATTGTTACGGCCTGAATGCTGCATTTATGTTGGGTTTTTGTTTGTTTCCATAAATTGTTGATTTTCTTGATTTTACACATAATCTAAATGATAAATACCATCTCAAATATATGCATTGACTCTATTCCACGGTTCGTACTAGTTTTTCATGTCATACTTTCCCCAGATTTAAATACATAGTCTATTTTTGAAGTATAAGTATAAAAGATGATCACCCACAGGACGATGACATCACCACCATACTTGACATTTTTGGATTAAGAATAAAAGCCAAGTCCCTCCTCCAAAACCAAATGAACTCTAGACATAAATGACAAGAAGCAATATTTGTGTGGGTGTCTGCATATATTTGAGCCTCTGTTGTTGATTTCCCCTGTGTTCAGTTGCATCCTAAAATGCCCAAATTTAATAAAAACATTCACGTACATGCTGTGTGTATATAAGCTTTTTATTAGTCATGATCAGGTTTGGTGATGACGCAACACGAGGGCGAGGTGTAGACTTAAATTGGACAAAATAGGGACATGGGATTTAGTGCAAAATGAAAAACCGAACTGAAAACTGAAAAGCTGAGGTGCAGATATAGCTAAGAGACAAAGCAAATGTCCTGCTCTAAAATTAGAGTCAACCAAAGCCTAAAAGCTTGAGCAGAGGTCAACAATAAACCGGTGCTCATGCGTAGATCCACCATAATTCCACACATGATCACTTGCAGCTGGTCACTGGATCACAGCTAAAATCTGCATGCTCCTACGGAGAACTGGACAGGAGTTCTTGGATTCAGTACAAAAAAATCTATTTCCAGGTACCAGAAATCAATCAGCAGGAACAGCAAAGTAAGCAGAAACGAAACAATACATTAAACCTTATTAACCTTAACCTTAGGACACGATGGTTAAGATAATGAATTCATTTGGTTATTTTAACAACCAAATGCACAACTTCTCCCCATTTATTTTGAGCTCAAAATGGATGCATATATGGAGGCATATAGAAACAAAGACGATGACATTTATCCGATTTAAAAATTAATTCTGCCTGATTGTCCAGAGGTTTTCTGGTCATTAGTCATGTCTGACTCTCTGATGCTTCAGTGGGAAGTTTTGCAATGACATAAAGTGGGAGGAGGTGACAGAGGAGACCCCAGACTAGTATAGGGTGAACCTCAGGAAGCCCTGTGTCTTCTCCTATCACATGTCCTCTCCTAAACTCCTCTGGCTGACAAGCAGGTATCTACCCGCTAATGAAGACATATTTACACCTCTGCTCATAGTGGTGAACCACAAGCAGCGCAGTGTGTGTGTGTGCGTGTATGTGGAGGGCTTATCGGTAAGATTAATAGGATATCAGAGCTCACACTGATAAAGGAGGAACCCAAGAAGGAACAGTTTGGTGTCTCTGCAGCTAGACCACATTTTGGGTTGAACTTTATATTTCTTTGAACCAGAAACTTACAAGTAGAAGACTTGAGATTTTTATAATTAACTTTTTTTTTTATTGTCGGCACTACGTTAATGATATACAGTGTCTAAGTGGCAGAACTCTTTGCCATTTTACAAATAAGAGAAATCCTAAATTAACAAATATCTTTTATAACGTACCTAATTGTAAGTTAAACTGGAACCAAGGTTGATGTGGAATCTGTTTACAGTGTTCGACAAACACATTCAAGCTGCTCCTCACACCCACCCTGTAATGTTTTTATTCAATTAGACATAAGTGATGACAGTGTACATTTGTTGTGACATAAAAAAGTATTTAAATCATGTTGATTTAAATTAAATTGTGCTTATTTAAAGGGTAGACATCACGTGTGATGTTGAGGTTATTTTTGCTTGCGCTTTAGCAGACTGCATGAAATCTCTCGCTTCCATTTGGCACGCTGGCGCCAGCTATTGGAGCAGGCCCGGCGAAGTTATCACAATGGAAATAATCTCAGCACTTGTCAGCGGCCGTTGACCCTCCTTTTATCTCTTAACCTTTGAAGAGGCTGCAGATATGGCTCAAAGTAGCTGGATGTGCTATGCAGTCCAAATAATGAATGATGATATGATGCATAAGTTATCATAAATGTTGGAATTGAACCAGAAGAGGCTTCGGTTGTCAGTTTCAAGCCATTTCAGACCAACACCAGAGAAACAGCTGATCCTATGCAGACAAAAGCTGGATCCTGACTGTTCTCCACACTCTGCGCTTCTCCACGGGATTCTCGCACGGTTATCTTTGTCCACAAAAAGACACAATGCTATGTCAACAAGCCTGTAACTAAGAGGCCAGCTTTTCTAGCTTCACTGCGATAATGCAAACAGGCTCCCGCTTTGACACTGGAACTCGTCATGTTGCTCCAGCTCCTCACTGGTCGACATATTTATTGCCTTTGAGAGAATCCAAAGCATGTCCACCTGTGGCAGACCTTTGTCTGTGTTGCATCGCTCTTGTCGTCTGGTTAATCTTTCAGAATAACGTTCTTTATTTAGACCCGCTCACTCACTACATGATGACTGCTGTTGTTAAAATGAGGTCCGGCCACTCTGTAATAACCAAAGACAATGTGTGACTCATGTCGCACTGGGACTCCACTTAAGCCCTGAGAGTAATGGACACCAATAGATGAGATATTTCACTGAAGCATTTCCCCAGAAACAATGCACATCTTCCTTTGTGTTTCGAAAACAATACCGGTGATTAACATGTGCAGAATTATTTGTCCTAATAGCAACACATGTCAACAATGAAACTGTTTCCTACTGCTATAACTCTTAAAATGTTATTTTTACTTCCATTTTTATATTTTAATTACACTTGCTAAATAAGTGTTTTAAATTGCATTTGTGCAATTTAAAATATTCTGTGTTGCTTGGCAGTTACTTAGAGTTTACTATAAACCAACATTTACTTTTCTGCAAAAAATCTTTATTACTCATTTTTTACATTTATTTATAATATTTTGTTGCCAGTGGCACTTGAAGCCAATAGAAAAACAATACATACAAACATATGTTGCCTTTGTTATATTTTCTTGTTTAAATATTAACTGTTTTCACCTTTTTTATACGTATCTCGGCCTTTCACGATAACTTCAGACAAATAAATAAAATAAATGATTCTATGCAGAAGTGCTCTTTGTAAGGGATAAACATCAGTCCCTGTATCTATTTAAAGGTGCAGTTCTAGTCTCTGGCTGCTTGGGGATACTTATGAATAATCATTGCAGTACATGCAGTGCCTAATATGGCTTCACCGGGGACCCCATCTCTGATAAGACCCTGACCCGCTGATTTCTGGACTGCTCTCCCACTCATTAACCCCCTCCCGTCTTAAACCCCCTAACCAAACACAGACACAATAACATGCCTGGCCCTAAAGCTCTCCTCCATATTAGGCAAAGGGGTTTTATTTAAAAGGAGAAGTCACAGGGAAGCCCCCAACAGGTCACCATTCTATCTCAAGGTAAAGTATGAAGACAAAAGTCCAGACTTAGCTAGATATGGAAACCATACTGATGTTATCTCTTCCCTCAGGGCCTTCTTCACCTCAGTATTCCAGGAAGTGGTCGAAAAGGTAAGAACATCTAAAAACTTATAGCAATATATTAGAAAAAATTACTTTACTTGACTTTATTACTGCAACACGCAAGCAGTTAAGATGCCTTAAGAGAAATTGTTGTTTAGTTGCCCAGGTGAAAGATGGGTGATGCTGCCATGAAAGAATTTGGGGCAGCCGCCCCGTACCTGAGGAAGTCAGATAGGGAGCGTCTGGAGGCCCAGACCCGTCCGTTTGACATGAAGAAGGAATGTTTTGTTCCTGACCCCGATGAGGAGTATGTAAAGGCTTCCATCGTAAGTCGTGAAGGTGATAAAGTCACTGCTCAGACAGAGAAAGGGAAGGTCAGTATGCAGAAGAGATGCTGCTTTAAAGGCAGCTTATTTTTGTCCACCAGAGTGAAAGCAGCCTGTTAACAGAAACTTTGTTGATTTTTCAGACTGTCACCGTGAAGGAGTGCGACATACATCCTCAGAACCCGCCAAAGTTTGATAAAATCGAAGACATGGCAATGTTCACCTTCCTCCATGAGCCAGCTGTGCTGTTTAACCTCAAAGAGCGTTACGCAGCATGGATGATCTACGTAAGTGAAGAAAAGCTAACTTTCCACCCCTCTATACACCAATCCTAATTCAGATCATTATAAAAAATTTATCACATTCAATTTCGAATTCTCTTAGACCTACTCTGGGCTGTTCTGTGTGACTGTCAACCCCTACAAGTGGCTGCCAGTCTACAACCAAGAGGTGGTCGTTGCCTACAGAGGAAAGAAGAGGAGCGAAGCTCCTCCTCACATCTTCTCCATCTCTGACAATGCCTACCAGTACATGCTGACAGGTCATTTATTTTCAATGAACATCACATTGTCAGTTGAGTTAAGGTAAAAAAGAGTAAGCCCTTCAGTAATCCTTTCTTCTCTTTTTTCAGACAGAGAAAATCAGTCCATTCTCATCACGTATGTTAACAATTAATTTGTAATCCTCAAAAATACCATGTTGTCAGAACTTTGGTAAAATGTAGATTTTCTGCTCTTGTTTCTGCCTTTATTTCAGCAAAAATGTGATTGGTACTGCATCTTCAGAAAATATTTTTTTAGTAGGGAACACAGTACCTTCCTCAAGAATTCAAACACTG